TTCATATTAATATTACAACATAATGAAAAATACAGCAAGTAAAATAATCAACTAGTCGTCGCACTTTCTGACTGCTCTGTACGACGAGACGAAAACATGTATTGCATAACTCATTATTAATTTTATTATATTTTGATTTTATTAATTCACTTAGAGTTATAAGAACTGGATATATTGAGTCAAAACAAGATCAGTTTCTCAAAACAGAAATGTTAAGAAATGCTGAAACAATTCCGTGGTACTTTTATTAAAAATCAAGAACTTAATTAAAAGATGAAAACAAAAGTCTTCAAATGCTTACTTACCCATGTCCATGCGTCCATTTCAAGACCAGCTTTCAAGCACACGGTAACGACCACGTACTAAACTTTTAAATAGTATTTTTTAAAAGATGTTTAAAGCACAAGTACAGTATAAATGCTATTTCCTAACATGTACAATCCTCCAGTTCTACCGTTTCTCCAAACCACGTCTGAAATCGACAATGAATTAAGAAATGCATAAATGTCTATGAATTCGGCTAACCTTGGATAGCTAACTTGCCCAACCAGAAAAGTAGTACCGAATGGTACACAGCGTTCATTATCCACAGCCAAAATATCTAAAAGCATATATGACAGAACGCTTCATAATACAGTAACATCTCGCTGTAATTCTCCTCGCATCTGTCTATGTCTCGCCATCTTTCTACCAGTCTCGCCATTTATCGCACGGTCCTCAATGCATCTGTTTCAAATAGTTTCTATCCACCTAATCGTTCATCGCTTACTGTCTCTTTTCAGCTTACTGTTTTATTCAGATACACGCAGAAAATGAAGGCAAGACATTCACATGATAAGTCAGAGAAAGTTTTGTAAAGAATCATGACTTAATATCAACAAAGAAGTATTACCGTTAGGAAACAAAAAAGCATTAAAGCGATACGGCATACACGGAGAAGCAAAAACGACATTTTGAAGTAAATGCGATGAAACAGATGAATAAGATTTCGGCAGGTATGCATTAAGGCTGATACATTACCGGTTATGATGGTTAAGGATGTGCTACTTAAAGATCGGATGAAAGTAATCAAGTGATGCATGCTACATGGAAATTACGTTCATCCCTACAGCGAAGCGACAGCAAGCGTAGAGGAGAAAACTGAAGCATGGAAAGCAGTTATTACAAAACTGTTTGCACTATAAAGGGCAAGAAAAAGTACATAGCAAATTATCTAGGCAGAAAAAACAGAGGAATCACCGACCAGCTGATCAGAATGAATGGTCATATGTGACCCGAAATTCTCAAGCATTCTGGCTGCGTAATGAAAATCAGTAAGAAAACTTAAAGAACATTATGAACTCGATCGAAAAAAGTCTGGTTAAAACACGGGTGGGTGAAGGGCGACAAAACGACCATCGAGCTAAATGGAAAGGAGTACAGCAAAAGATCAGTACTGCTCTATGGAGTGGAACGCTGCTGCACAATGAACTCGTAAACACGAACAACGGTTTAGCTCAACAGAAGTGCAAATGATCATAACACGGATGCCTTGTCACCGGTGGTATTACATCTGAAACGCAAAAAGCTATACAACGAACTACAAATGGTTTCAGTAACAGCAAGGCCGAATGAAACCATGTTCGTTGATCTGGCCATCTGAAAAGCAGCTTCGAAGATCATGTGATCCTAACGCGGATCAGATGATAACAAGGAAGGGAAGAAATGAATGATGACCTATGTGCCCAACGTGGTACAGCACGAAATGACGCTGTACATGGTGATGGAAAGCATAACAGACTAAAAGTAAAGTTAACATAAATAAAGATGATTTCAGCAATGCTGATTAAGCGAAGAGGAATATATTTCGAAAAACAGGATGAAGAAAGGGACAAGGGTAAGAGGTGAAAAATAAAGGAGAAGCAGAAGGAACAGAGAAAGAAAGACGATAAGGACAAAGCAAAAGCGAAAACGGGAAAAGAAGGCGGATTAATGATACCCCAAAGTTAAACTTCTTGATGGTGATTTGATGGCTTCTCCAAACCAATGTAACTGCATGAAATAAAAGCAATTTTAATAAAAACTAATCTAGGTTTTATGGCATTGTAGAAGGCAGGCAAATTTTTTTCAGTACTGCCAGCAGGAATAACAATGTCATGGCACTTTTCCGTTTTCGCAAGTGGCAGACGCATTGTCCCTTTGCATTTGGTAGCCTAGGAGACCGCTAAACTAGGCTATGGCTCTATGACACCTGCAGTGCATTTGCATAAAACAAAAATACCTTGGAACACCAACGGACCGTATCTCAATCCGTAGGCATAGACAATAAAACTAAGGCGGGTATTAATGAAGATATTTTTAGTTTGGTAGCAAACTGTTAGTTTCAATACCGCAAGATTAACAATCTCATGCAACTGCCATGCAGAATTGTCGACTTTCTCATTCCAAACGAAAGAATCGAGTCAATTTGATTCCCCTCCTTTGAAAATTTAGTTTCAATGCCACGTCACAGAAGTCGTCCTGTTGAGTAACTCGTCTGAGAGAAATAGCTTAATTAACAACCCATCAATACGATCAGACTACTGCGTTCAAAACGCATGCCACTACTATGACAAATTCATCACCGTAAACCAATAAAGCACCTATCTCAAGATAGAATAATTCATTCCTGCGCTGGTGGTCATACTGCAAAATAGCGTTAAACACGGTCTACTTATACATAACGCAAAAGATAATTGGTCAGTCTGGTGAGTGACCAGTACCGACGCTTCGGTCCGAATCTCATGGGCTTTCATAATAGTAGATGGGTGAAAACGTTTCGTTAAAGTGGTTGGACGTCTGCAGCAATCAAAAGCACGTAATTGAATGTAAATAACGAATGCCTTCTCATTCCAGTGGCGACTGCGTAAAAAATATCACAATGGCAGTGAAGATGAAAGAATAGCAAAGAAACCTGTAATGTACTTGAATCTTAACTTGACTACATTTTCTTGCGCTTAATTCAAAGAATACTTACTCCTATAAAACTCGGTTTTGTTTAAAAAGAGCACAAATAACAGGGATGCGAGAAGTTTCTCAAACTAAAAATTTTAAATTGATTTAAGAACCAATAAATGTAAAAATTAGAAATTTAAAAACTCATAAGACGAACTGCCACCTTTTCAAGGCTTTTGCTAAAACCGACTATAACTTAAAAACACCGTGACATACGCACCTTTACATTGAACGAATCCCTATTCTGGGACAGTTTGTACAATGCAGGGTACTTCATCATTGTTTGTGAGCTGGCTGTGACGTCGAACAAACCAATGGCCAGCGGCGGTGCAGCCGTAAACAGC